TATATATTGTGTGTGTGTGTGTATATAATATATATATATATATATATATATATATATATATGTATGGTGCTGTCTATATATTTATGTATATTGTGATATTCCCGTGGTATGAGTGTAACCAATGCTACTACGTTGATTTCGCAAAACTGTACCGATTAGGCACAAGTCCCCCTATATCTAGGACTCAGTTGCGCTGCTACAACACGTTTAAACCCTAAAATCACAGAAAACTGTTAGGAATCGTGAAATCGAACCCATAGAATCTTCTTAGTAGCAAGTTGAATATGTATGTATGTATGTATGCATGTATGTATGTACGTATGTATATGCATATGTATATATATATGTATATATATATATATATATATATATATATATATATATATATATATATATATATATATATATATATATATATATATACATATATATGGTGCGTGTGTATGTGTGTGTGTTTGTTGAACTGACCGCCCAAGTTTAGATTAATATATCGGAATTGTACATCATATATTTGAGGAGACTATTACGATTTGATAGTTCCATATTCGTTCTTTGGTGACACCTATGGATTGATCTGGCAACTCCGTCATTTCACCTGTTCTATGCTACGGTCTTAACTCTTGACGTCATGGAATCGATATTCGCATACACTGAAAGTATTTTGTTCATGTGTCATTTTGGTATTATTTTTAGTATCTATTTTCTACACACCGTAGGAAATGTCATGGTGGACACAATTTTAACGCTTTTGTATTTCATTCGTGATTGCCAAAGGACTGTGCACAGGAGTACAACACAACGTACGCCACTTCGCAGCAAAGGTTTCAAGCAGCATGTTCGCTGAGTGTTCTACTAGGTGATGAAATTCTGCTGGCAGATCCCACGCAACGGATACTCTCGCTCTACCTTATATCATGCAGCAGCCCGAATGTGCGTGAAAGTGCATTCCTACCGGTCATAATCCACTCTGCCACATCAGCACACAATCCTATAGAGCGGAGGTTTGCAAATGAGCTGGTGACCAAACCTGAGACAACACAAAGGGTGTGTCATTCTGAATGAATCAGCTATTAAGGCTTTTGTTGGGAATCTTTCGCGCAAAAGTGTTGACACTATATATTAGCAGCAATACAGGGCAGCACAGTTCCGTGAAAGCGTACATGCTTGTATTCGTTATTAGCGTGTACAAGAATATCAGTGATTTGTACTGCGTACTAGTTTATATATCTCGTACAATGTGTACACCAAAGTGCGAGCGCGTGAGCGAGTCATATTTTGACTAAGCTTCAAGTAAAATTGCTCAAGCAAGTGGGTTTTCGAGC